TGAGAGAGAGAGAGAGAGAGAGTGTGAGAGAGAGAGAGAGTGAGAGAGAGAGAGAGAGAGAGAGAGAGAGAGAGACACCCCCCCACACCCACACACACACACACGCACACATATTATCTCGAATCGGTAATTAAAAAGAAGAACTAATGTTTTTTACTCCTTGGAACAACAGTCGCTAGTGTATTGACCCCAAAGCCACCGTCATATCATATTCTGTTGGCAAGGAAGAAGTAAACACCTTCATTGTACCAAGAAAGCTGATACCTTCCTTAGCTCGTCCCCCAGCAACTGGTAACTGGGTCATTTAATCCGTCAGCTTTTTATACACCCAGCCGAAAACGAGACAGACCTTGTTTGTTTGTTTGTTTGTTCTTTGTCTCTCTGTCTGTCTTCTCTCTGTCTGTCTGTCTGTCTGTTTGTTGTTTGTTTGTTTGTTTGCTTGTTTGTTGGAGTAAAGAGAAGCACATCGACACAATAATGTGGTCATTTAGAGCTTGGTAAAAATAAGACAGACAGAAACAACAGAGGGAAAGTAAAGAAGTAGGACCTACCAGTAGTGTCCTCCAACCACTCGCGTGGACATAATGACCACATGAATATTGAAGAATGACATTGAAGTTTCTATCCAAAATGATCCCAAAATTACTGGATCTCCAACGTCAACTTTCAACCCCCTGCTACTGATAATACCTATCCTACTTCAAAGAACAAACCATATGGAAGGCCTCCACTTATGTTAACATGGCACTTGGACGAAAGGCACGCGGTAAAAAAGTTATTGGATTACCACCACCCCCACCACCACCACAACCACCATCAACAACAACAACAACAATTACAACAACAACAATAACAACAACAACAACAACAACAACAACAACAACAACCACACAAAGAACAAAAACAACGATAATAACTATGAGAAAGGAACAGTAGTCACCCTTGAAATTCAATAAAATCAAAACAGCTGCTTATGCAAAAATGGTAGATATCCATATTCTATTTTTTATGACCGTGTGAAAAACACGCAGGTGTCGTCAACTTTCTCTGTGTGACCGGCGTTTTCCTCCCTGTAGTTTTTTTTACCTCTAAAACAGCATCCACACGAATAAGGGAAGATGACACATAGGTTAGCTTTTTGTTCTTTAGCTGTTTACCGTGACGGTACTTGTGTAAGTCTACTTTTTCGTTCTGCATTTTCTTTTCATTTTCAGAAAAGTCTGGAGCAGTAGATCTATTTTTTTAAAAGAAATAACATTATCCTACTTTCATTGCTGTAAAACTATTCAAATAATAGTGCATTCCCAATATGAATCAAATCAAAACAATATATATATATATATAAGAAGGGCGACCAAAGGTCTAATCCATCACATTCATTCAAATAAATGAGTTCTGACAACTTACAAGAAACGGGTAAGGCTTATTTATTTTGCTTGTCAGTTAAATCCTACCCAGAGGAATTTTAAGCACCCCGGCAAGGGTTCCTATAGAGGATTTCGAAGACTCTTTGTTAGGTCAGACCTATTTTCCGTGATAAGTACAGAACTACCGTTGATGATACTGCCAGTGACGTGTGACGAGTCTTGAGTCTGGCATATAAGAATTTTCTCGTGCTGCGTTCGCGTCATTTACTTATTCTGATTTTACTTACTTTGTTTGCTTCCTCAGCGAGATGTTGGCATTATAAAAACTGTCAAAGAGAGAACATAGGCCTTCTACAGTCGAACAGTCTGAGTGCCCCCCCCCCTAAAAACTCTGCCCTTTCTCTCTCTCTCTCTCTCTC